TATCTATCTATCTATCTATCTATCTATCTATCTATCTATCTATCTATCTATCTATCCTATCTACCTATTCTATCTACCTATTCTATCTACCTACCTATCTATCTATCTATCTATCTATCTATCTATCTATCTATCTATCTATCTATCTATCTATCTATCTATCTATCTATCTATCTATCTATCTATCTATCTATCTATCTATCTATCTATCGATGTATCTATCTATCTATCTATCTATCTATCTATCTATCTATCTATCTATCTATCTATCTATCTATCTATCTATCTATCTATCTATCTATCTATCTATCTATCTATCTATCTATCTATCTATCTATCTATCTATCTATCCTATCTACCTATCTACCTATCTATCTATCTACCTATCTACCTATCTATCTATCGATATCTATCCATGTATCGATCTATCGATCTATCGATCTACCGATCTATCGATCTATCGATCTATCGATCTATCGATCTATCGATCTATCGATCTATCTATCTATCTATCTACTCTGACCTAAAAGTAGATGGCTCAGAATCTTGAGTTGCGCCATCTATGTCAAAGGCAAAATGCGGGGGATAGATGGCGCAGCTCCCATTCAAAACAGGTTAGTTGCGCCATCTATGTCCCTAAAAATGACCGATTTTTGCAATCTTCTGCGCTGGTTTCCCCCCATATTTTTTCTCAACACCAAGCTGAACAAAACACATTTACAAAACAGAACTTTGTCCTCACCATCAAGCCTTTTCCTGCCATGCGCCATCCATGCGCGTCCCAAACATGGCAGTTCAGCAGGCTGAGGGGGGTTGGCAGTGGCAAAGTTCTGTTTTGCAAATGTGTTTTGTTCAGCTTGGTGTTGAGAGAAAAATATGGGGGGAAACCAGCGCAGAAGATTGCAAAAATCGGTCATTTTTAGGGACATAGATGGCGCAACTAACCTGTTTTGAATGGGAGCTGCGCCATCTATCCCCCGCATTTTGCCTTTGACATAGATGGCGCAACTCGAGAAATTCCAATCTCTATTTATGTTTTTATTTATGACAGTTCTGTGAGGATTAACAACCTCTGTGAGGATGGGCTCCCAAAAACTCCCAGGACAAAAGAAAACTGATAACGGGAAGACACACCGGGAGAGCTTCTGGACCCGGACGGCCTGTCAGCAATCTCTCCTTGACACAGGCCGTCCGGGTCCAGGCGAGCAGTTCCAAGCGCTGTCCCTGGACCACAACGGGGTACACAACGGGGGGAGACAACAAAAAGGCACAACGGGGAGACCCAACGGGAAAATGATGGAAAATGAGAAATGTCACGTTTATGGTGGGTAAATAAGAAAACGTTGCTTTTGCAACATTTTGAAATTTTCACATTGTGCATCTGTGTTTGATAGTTCGATAAGTTTTAAAAAGTGATTTCTATATGTCCACAGTCACTTTTAAAACATTCAGTGGTTCATTTTCAAGGTATTGCAATTAAAATTTGAAAAGTTTTTTCAACATTTGTTTTGTCAAAATATGTTGAAAAATGAGATTTCTATCCATAAATTCTGTCCGCAATCAGTTTTAAAACATTCAGTGGTTCATTTTCAAAGTGTGGCAATGAAATTTTTCGAAGATTTGAATGCGATTTAAGGGACATAGATGGCGCAGAACCCATCGAAAAAAAAAAATCTGGCGTTTGAATGGGATTTAAAGGAAATAGATGGTGCAATTCATGTTTGAACCCATCGAAAAAAATATGGCGTTTGAATGGGATTTAAGGGACATAGATGGCGCAACTCATTTTTAGATAAAAAACCAGGGGAATTATTTATATACATATATATATATATACATGCATACACATATACATAATATTTACAATACAAACATGTGTAATCTACAGTATAAACAAGCAAAAATGATCGGACATGTAGTAAAACTTAGTTAACAATACCCTTATGTCCATCTACTGGAGTGGCAGTTGCGCCATCTACCTATTTCATTTTAAAGTAGGGTGATTTTTTCTTCACGTGGCGGAACTCGTTTTATGTTCCAGCTAAAATAGCGCCGTTTTCTTTCTCACCGCGCGGTGCCATCTTATGGGTATTTTGGTTTTTGAGTTGAGCCATCTACTTTGACATCAGTGTATCTATCTATCTGCAAGCTTGCGAACGAAGCTATTCTGCGAGACTTCCTCAGTTTTTGAACTTGACAAGGTCAAAAACGAAGCAATTCTGCGAGACTAACTTGATAACGTCAAAAACGAAACAATTCTGCGACACTTCCTCTTTTTTCGAAGTTGACAGCATCAAAAACGAAGCAATTCTGTGAGACTTCCTTCAGAAATGGAAAGTTGAGTGCAGAGCTGACGGCCGCGTGCAAATGCGTTTTGCGATGTTCCCACGCCTGCCATCGCTTTTGGTAATGCTACAAAACCTTCATGTTTTGCTCACTTTTGACAAGGTGCACAATCCCTTGCGCCTGCCACGCAAAACGGCATCTGAACGTCCAAAAGCGCTCCGTACCCCACAGTTTTTTTGCACTTTGACTTCGAAATGTCCTTCGTGCCACAACGGCGTGCGCTTGTTCGACGTTTCAACTTCCAAAAGTGCTCCGAACGTGGGGTGCCTTTAGCTTTTTCACTTGCAAATGTGCTTCGTGCCACAACGGCGTGCAATTTTCATCTCTCATCTAGCCAGCTGGCTCCGCACCCGCCGCTTTAGCGAGCCTACTTTTCGACCCCCCGGAGCCACAAATCATTAGAAAAACGCAATGCCTCGCGACTTTCCTACCTTTTCGCGCGCTTGGATTTTCTTTCTTCTGAGATTTTTTTTTTTGATATTCTTTCTTCTTCTCTTCTCTGACGCTTCCCATCTCTGCTTTTCATCTGTCCATATTGTCGGAAGTTTGACTTCGAAACTTCCTTCGGTTAGTATAACAATTAGTTTATATTAGTTTAAAATATCTACAACGCACAGTCAAAACACAAGAACCTTTTGTCCAGCCATTTTGTCGTGCTTGTTGTTGTTAAAGCACAATCGTCCTAGCGGACCTTCTCCCTTTGCATCAAGGCCAAAGCTGCGCTGAAACTACAGAATTCCCTGAACTATAAGGGTTTGGACAGGTACTTGTCCGCCAACAGATCCAATGTTGTCAGCCCTCAATCAAATTTTCAGGAAACTGGCCGATGGACCGTACACCGTATACTTCCGTATGTTTGTACTTCAGTCACAGTCATGCATGTTCATATAATATTCATATTTCCATCTGGTTCATCCGAAGTTTTCACAGCCATGTTGCGAATTCAGTGGATGTCCTCCGGAGAAGACGTGGCTTCCATCGATACAGCTGCCTTGCCGGGTGCCACGGTGAAGGAGTTGAAACAAAAGCTTCAGCGCCATGTGGGTCAGCCCAGGTTCCGGCAAAGGTTGCTGTCCGTTGCAGGCGACATCTTGGATGATGACATGGAGGTGACACAGTTACCACCTGAGCCTGTGATTTTGCTAGTGCTTCTGTCATTTTCAACCCCTTCCAGCAAAGAAAAGTATGAGTGGTTCCATGCAGCGTCATCCTGTGAAATTGGGCGGTTGGAGACCTTCCTGCTGCAACCCTATGATCCAAATGTCTTTAGTCAAAATGGCCAAACAGCTTTGCATCTACTGGCGGCTGCTGGCAGTGTGGCTTGTTGCCAGTTGCTGTTGGAAGCCAAAGGTGAGATCAACAAATTGACGTTGCCCTCTTTTGGTGTCGGCGTTGCACCATTGCACATGGCCTGCGTATCTGGGCATCACGAAGTGGTACGCTTACTGATTCAGGAAGCAGCAGACGCAAACAAAACCACCACGGATGGTGACACTCCTATGCACATTGCAGCTTTCAACGGGCAGCTGGAAGTGGTTCGCTTATTACTTGATGCTGGAGCAGATAAAGACACTTGGTTTCTCAATTGTTTCTTGGGTCCATTCTGAAAACTGCCATTGAAAGTTGGGCCCCTTTCGAATTCCGCAATAGACCTGGGGTCCCACCTGCACTTGAACATGTTGCTGCAAATGGTTTTTTTTTACAATGTTTTACCATAATTATTGGTTTCATGTGTTTTTTTCCAGGAAAAGGCCACCATCGATTTCAGCATGGCCTCGCCTTTGTTGGTGGCCTCACGTGGTGGTCACTTTGAGGTGGTGCGCCTGCTGATCGAGTCCGGCGCTGACCTGGACAAGGCGACCAAAAGCACCGGCTTCACGTCGCTGTTGGTGGCTTCTCAGAAAGGACATGCCGAGGTGGTGCGTTTGCTGATTGAAGCAGGGGCGGACAAGGAGAAATCCTCCAACGGTGGCATCACTCCGCTGATCATGGCGTCTCAAAGAGGTCATTTGGATGTGGTTCGTTTGCTTGTAGATGCTGGAGCAGACAAAGACAAAGCAACTTCACAAGACGAAGCGACACCTTTACTCATGGCCTCTCAAGAAAACCGTTTGGAAGTCGTTCGTTGTTTAATCATCGCAGGCGCTGACAAGAACAAGGCAGCCACCACCAGTGGTGTAACCCCGCTGCTGATCGCTGCACAGAGGGATCATTTGGAAGTTGCAAAGCTGCTACTGGAAGCCGGAGCCGATTTGGACAAAGCCACCACTGATGGCACCACCCCTTTGTTGGCTTCGTGTGCAGCGGGACATCTCCAAATGTCGCAGCTGTTGGCGGAGCATGGTGCAGATCATGCCGCGGTGCGCGAAGACGGCGCCACCGCAGCCTCTATGGCCATGGAGGCTGGACACTTGGAGGTGGAGGAGTTTCTCCAGCAGCTCAGCAAGAAACGCAGAAAGATTGCAGGTCAGGGAGAAGATGATTAAGGCTCAATTAAGGGATATTTGATATTAGGGGATGATGTTGACATGTCTTGGATGGTGCCCCAAGAGCAGTAAGCAGCTTGAGAGATCCTGAGTCCAATGACGTGCTCTAGCAAATGGGAAGATTGTGGAGTATTGCATGATGATGGAGGGTTCAATTTCAAGAAGGAAAAGCCCTGCAACTGGAAAGGGCCCCGCCAGGAACAGTGAAGCCCAGGGGCGTTATAGTGAGATGAACGAAAGGGATCAACCGGTTGCACGCCAATGGCATTCAGTGGCCAAAGCTGCCAGAATGCAACGAAACCCTCATGCCACATGGCCCGCGAGAGGGGTTTGTTGAATTTTAGATGAAGGTTGGAGGACCCACGCCAAACATTAGCTGGCAAGGGTCCTACATCCAGCACAGTGCAAAGACCTTGGGCAACAGCACAGAATCCGTCGGAATCCAAGGTCTGCGTGCACTATCACTGCTGCTTCACAACGTTGTAGGCATATCGGCATATCGTACAAAGTGTTTGATTCTAGGTGCCATGAGTGTCAAGAGTTGCGGAAATCAACAGCGCTTATAGCTGCAACGGTTATTTGTATATATATATATATTTATTTGTTATTACATTTGCATTACATTTGCATCTCCACAACAAGCTGATAGATGTTTGCCACGTCAGAGGCTCTTGCTAGCTGGTGGTCCCCTTATGTTTGCTCTCTTGGATCCCAAAATTACATCCATGAAGCCAAGCCCTTTGCGTCCCTTGTTTTGGAGAGACTATTGGTGAAGACATTGAGAAGACACCACTTGTTTACAAACCTACGTAGGTTACTAAGCGGGAAGATACAGGATATTATTCTGAGATAGAAGGAAACAGATAGATGGAGAGAGAGAGAGAGAGAGAGAGAACATTAATTACATATGATGTCACGCCCAACTAATTGATTATGGTGGGCAGTACTACAACATTAGAGAAGCTATTCTCAAACTACTCGAATTCCAGGCTCCACTAGCCCAATGTTGCCATGTCTCTGCAGACATAGCCGCGCGGCAAACCGAGTTCTTGGATCTGCGACGTCTACTTCAACGACAGCAGCACAGACTCCTCCACGTTGAACAACCATGCCGTGGCGGAGCGTCGATATGCTGAAGGGAACTGAGATGGAAGTGCGAAACCATTTCGAAGAAAAGCATGGGATGGAAACATTCATCATATTCATCGATTCGAGGATGAGGATCAAAATGGATCAAAATCAGCAACCCATTTCCACTTCCATACCAGCGTGCGAGAAGTCAATTGCATTGCCTTAGCTTGTTTTGAAACTTGTAAAAATCCAGTTGCGCATGGCGCAATGCTTTAAAGACAGCTTTCAGGGGCAAGTTTGGCTACTTACCTTTTTAGTGGCAGATTGTTTCGCGAGGCTATGATTCCACTCTTTGGAAAGTGCCGCCCTTGCCCTCAATCCAAATCCACGCCAGGTCTGAAATGGGATCATGGCAGATTTACGAGATGCATAGTAGCTCAAAAAACGTTCGCCCCGGTGACGGCGCCCTGGTGTGCAAGGTATTAGCAATCTGTAAGCACATCAACGATGTCACCTGGTTCTACTGTGTGGTGATGGTTTGCCATCATCGGTGACAACCAATTACATGCCCAAGAACAAAGACTTAGACCACAGGTACTGAATGGACTTGATTATTGTTGTTCAAAGTGTTCAGAAAGCCTCTCACTCATTCAAACTTCCACATCTTCCACAAACAACATATAGCGACCCTTTTCGTTAAACAGTCGCAACAACCGTGATGAACCTCATGCGTTGTCACGCCCTGCAGTCCTTGCTACAGAATCGCTCCGCAGTGGCGTCCCTGGTGGGTTGACGGAGTCTGACTTTGTGGGGGCCATGTCTCATGGCAGATCCCAAAGTTCACTAAGCCACTAAGTATCATTGCATTCAATGCTTGTTGCAGTAAGGCAAGTACTTGAAGTGCTAACTTGTTTTTAAGTGGCAAGATGGCAATCCTCCTTTCTGAAGAAAGATGCCGGCAAACTTGAAAAAAATTCACCATCTCCCCCCCAAATGGATCAAAACTCTTGTGGAAGGTCCGTGGAAGTTCTTTGGGCAATTCATAGCAGCCATAGCACTTCCGTTGCAAAGGTCGCCCAAGCCATGCTGGCGCAAGGCGGGCGTGTGAATGTGGAGGTCTGGGGTCCCAGCTTGAACAGCTTGAATGATGTTGTCACATTTTGTCACTGTCATGTCATACTGTATCTGTCACTGAGACTGTCAGATTTGTCAGTGTGAGAATATCGTGCCAATAGAATCCAATAGACGAATAGATCGATATGATTCGATAATTTATGATATTATATGATGTGTCATGACATGTTCATATATGATCCACAATATGGTCCAATGAATAGCTCACAGTTTTGAGCCGGGGCTTTGAACTGAGAACGTGGCTTTGGTGTTTAGGGTGTTAATCCAGGTGGCCGGAAAAGCTGTGATGGTTCGTGCCTCAGTGTTGGATCGAAACAGGTTGCCGCAGTCACCGCAGCCTTACAGCAATCTGTACGCAGCGAACTGGATACGCAAGACCGTATCCCTAACAAGTGGAAGGAACTCTTGAGGAATAAACTTATAAAATCGCTTTCCCAGGCAGCTGAGAGGTATTTCCGCAAGCGAATGAGAAGACCAAAGAAACATGCCAACTGCTGCAACTGCCATTGAGATTTCTGATGGTTCTGACGAAGTAATATTTTAGAGTTGAAGTTTGCCATTGTGTCCCTGTGACCTTCTGAGCTGTTTTGTATCACCATATTCATTGTTCATTTTAATCTTTGTACAATATCGAGAGAGATGCGCCGAGTTGCCCTTCAGGGCGCAGGACATGAAAGTGAGAGTGAAAGGTGTTGCGCCTACAATGAAATTCTCCGTCCTGAAGGTACCTGCACCAAAAAGGCTACACATCGGAAAATAGGTCCAAACTTTCCAAACCGACAATCAGGAGATTCCTTCCAAGAGCTGCCGCAGGTTGCTATTCAAATCTGTCACAGCCAGCTCGCGATCATGGATGTTCACCTATGTTCACCTATGTTCACCTTGAACTCAGGATATGACCAATGGCGTGCTGCCTGGTGTGGTCGGGGCAGCCAGGTTTCCGCGTCAGAAAAGTTGGAGGTTCAAAGGGCAGAAGTTGATGAGAATCCCATTTTCAAGTGGCTTTGTAACCCCACTTGGTGATATAATAAAACTCTAGTTACATCTAGTTACAGTATCCAGGGCATAACAGCATAACCCCGCTTGTGAAGACCTGGAATGATGCATCAGTGGTGGCCAGGATGCTTGCATGAGATTTGCCTCACATTTTGGCTCAGCGGAGTTTGCAACTTGCATTCAAGGATGTCAGAATCATGAAATTCCCCTGGCAACAGGCATGGATTGCAGGATAGCCTTTGCCCCTGGCAACGCGTTGATGCTTTCTCTGGCATTGGGTTTTCCTTGTCTGGTTGACCTATAATTTCATGACTGCCGCCCAGTGTGAATGCTCAAAATGAAACATCCTCAACTGTCCTCAACCCAGATCCCAGATGACCCCAGTAGCATTGGAGCGATTGGATCATTGAAGGCCCACCCTTTGGAACGACCAATGGCCATGGCCCCAAAAGCACCTGCCGAAGTGCAGCTGGAGCAGCTGGATGAGGTACCCATGGCCACCACTCAGAGAAAAGTCTGCGTAAGAACAGGACACAAGGATTGAGAAAAAGATAGAAATAGTGATGGAAAAATGTGATGAAACAATATGAAACATGTATATAAAAATGTTCATATGAACAATTTGATTGATGTTAGGAAGATTGTTACTTTCATGTGTCAACTGTTGCAGACTGTGCCGAAGGAACAGCAGTTCACCTTGGCAGTTTCGGACCACAAATCCTCCCGGCATCATCCGGCACCATCCGGCACCATCCGGCCTGGCCGCACAGGCCTTTGGCCCCGGTTACTTCGAACATGGCCGGCTCATCTTCACAGTGGCCCCTTGGAGATGGGCACAGAATCGGATAGAATCGGTCAAACGGCCAGACATTTCCCTGACTTTGAACTTGGGTTTAACATGGTTTAACATTGTTTATCAATTTTATCATGTTCAAGGTAAGAAATAGGTGGTGCGGCTTTCGAAACGTTGGCGGAGAAGATCGTAAAAGTCTGGGCAGTAGAAGATAAGGAGTGCGGCTTCACATGATTCACATGTCACAAGATGTCACAAGTGTGGGGGACCATGAGGGACATGCTGGGACCTGTTGGGACACATTGCCACTTGCAACCTGCAACATCCTGCAACTGGTTTCCATAATTGCCTACATCGGTTTCCCTGAGTTGAACACAAGCTGCCACCAGCTGAGGCTCGCGACATTCCAGGCATGATGAAAGTTGCTCACAAGCTGCAGCACCTTGCTCAGATTGTCCGCTCTGGTCACTTCGTGCACTTGTAGTCTGTCGTTTTCAGGATCTGACTGTATTATATCACCACGTCTCGTTTCCACAAATACATATTTATAGACAACCAAACATATGCTAATATAATATATGCAATGAGTATAGACCGGGTTTTGTAGGCACCCAACAGCAACAAAGCATCGAACGTTTTGGCATGTCATTTTGCTTCACGCCGTGCCGGTTCAAGGCAGAAGACGCACGAGAAGCTAGGCCTTTGGGTTGCCAAATTCGGATCCATTTGGGATCGGTGCTGGTTCACCTGAATTATAAACAGCAGAAAATCACGATAAATCACGACTCTCCCCAGCACCCTGGACCCTCCCCATGAATTCACGGTCCTTAAGTCATTGGGTGCTTCACTGAGCGATGCCATTTTTGATCAAGGGGCTCAAGATTTGTGGCAGCAATATGAAGCAATCGCAGGTCACAAGCCGATGGCACCGCAACACCAACAACTCTGGAATTTCTGTGTGCTTTGTGGTGGCCATGACCTCAACTAGAACATACTAGAACCAATTTAATTCCTCATAGCGCATGCCATCACATGTCATCACATGTCATCACATGTCATCACATGTCATCACATGTCATCACATGTCACAAGTCTCTCATGGATAACGATGGAAAAAATGTGAAAGCAGGAAAGTCCAGCACCTCACCATACCTCACCTCTATGGCAGACCCATTCTCACCTGCGCGCAGCCGCAGCCCCAAAGCCGCAGGGGCCGCAGGGGGCGTGGTGGATACTGCGAGTCCGTTGATCGGTTTGGATTTCGATTGCACCATCACAGTGCGACACTTTTACAAATCCATTGCCAATTTGCTGATGGGCAAACCCATGGCCCATCCCCATTGTGCCTTTTTGAATGCTTGGCTGAAGCGACAAAATGTGAAGCTGGAAGTGCCACAGACAGATGTGCACATCATGGTTGCAGCCGTGGAGAATCTGAGTCACAAATTGGGGGAGAAGAGGTTTCGTCAGCTGATTCGTGAAGTGTTCCTGGGAGGCGACGAGCGCATCCAGCATCTCACTGAATGGTTCACTCGGAAAGAGGCCGAAGGCATTCACTTTGCCATCATCACTGCAGGTATCGCAAGCACGGTGTCAATAGCGTTGGAAGCCGTCCCGGAATGGGATCGTTTTTTCCCTCCGGACCTGGTTTTGGACTTGAGCAACTCCCGGCATCAAGTGCTATCCATCACGGGGCAGAAAGCTTTGATGCTGAGGGACCTACGACCAAGCTCCAGGATTCTCTTGGTGGACGATTCATTGGGGGAAGATCCCATTCCCAGTTGGATCTTACGGAGGTCTCAAGTGAAGTCTGTGGCCTTGCCATATGAAGGCACTGGGCTGGATTTGCCCAGATGTGCGGAAGTGGATGCGGAATTGCTCAGTTGAGGCAGAGCTACCAGCAGGAACATAGATTTGTTGATCCTGTTGATCAAGTCGCATGGCGTAGCTGCTTCTCTAGATTGCTGAAGATGGTTCTTCAAGAACTTGAGAGGCATGACGTGGTCTTTTTCGCACCTCACCTTATACCTGGCCCGTGTTGGTCAATTTCAGTCAGGTGCTTGAAAAGGAGCTTTGCTTGCACTTGGGCCACATCTCACATTTGTCGTCATATGCTGCAAGTTTGACCCCGCATTTTAGATCTTTGATGTCCTAGTCTTACTAAACTGTGGAATTGCCCAAGCAACGCTTTTGGTGGCCAATTGTGCAATTGCAGGTTCAATGGTGGAAATCATTTTGGAACATGCACCTCGGATTTGTGAAAGATCGCAGATTGCGAACACCGCAAGGGAAATGGAAGATAAAAACCAAAAAAAAACTGCAGTCATCTGCTATCAAGCTGGGAAGGGAAGGGAACACGCAAACATGCAACCCTTGCGGCCCTTGCATCTCTGCAAAGTTCGGCTAAATTTGGACCCAAGGTGAAGCATGAGCTTTGGCTGAAACTCCATGAGAGTACCACCAGCTGCAGCCTGCAGAAAGGCCAAGAGGTGCGCCGGGTGGGGTGATTGATGGTGATTGTGACGGGAAGATTTGAGTCACATCAGAGCCAAAGATCAGCCAAGCATCCAATGACAAGCTATGATGCCTCAGAAATCCTAGATATATCTAGATATATGATAAATTGGGTATTGCATTATTGTATACATTGTATATGCAGTGTAGGCTCTAAGTTCCACTACTTGTAGAGCAAATCAAGCTTTGAGATTTCATTTTGAATATTGTGAACTTTTTGGGACAAGATATGATAGAGTCGATAGAGTCATCCAATACTTCTGCATTTACCAACAGGGGGCTATGGACCCAGCATGATCCTGCACCATCGACCCATTCGCCAGGTCGCAGAATATCAAGTGACCGACATCCCAGATGGCATTCGACAGCATCCCTACCGGCGAGATAGGCTTCCAACCTTGGAGGCCGCAGAATTCTCACCTGTCACCAACCCAGAGAATGGCCGCGGTTTTACAATAAATTTGGTCGTTTTATGTCGTTTTCATATGTTTTCATGATTATTTTCCGATGGAAAGACGGTGATGCCAAAGAAATTCATTCCCTACAGACATTGGTGAGTCCCAGTTGCTGTGCTGGTGCAGGTCATGCTACTGTGGGAAGATCCATCCAATGGCTCAGTGCGTGGCCGTTGCCTCTTCACAATGCCACACCCAGAAGTGCCAAAACTGGAAGATGCAGCTGGGCTTTTTGATTGTGATTTGCAAAAGTTGAGGTAAGGACATTGTAAGGACAACACAGCCATCAAGTCATTTCAAAAACCATGGTTGGTGTTTCTTGGGGCAAGGGAATGGTATCACCAATTCGGAAATCTGTTGTGAAGGACCGTTTAGTTTAAGGACCGCTTAGTTTAAGGACCGCTTAGTTTGAAAAGTTAGACTTGTTCATTGCTGCATCCAAAGGGATCATCATGGATCATAATTTGGGTAACATCTCAAGGGTCTATTAGTGTATAAGCATCTACAAACTCAATGGTCATCATTTATTCATCATTTCTTCTGTTTCGGCCTGAAATCGATGGCTTGGGCTTGCATCACCATTGCATAGAGGTGGACGACATCTTCGCAGAGATTGAGCCCTTCTTCGCGAAGCGTTGGCTGAAAGTTCAGCTGGCCCTGGAGACTCCTCAGCAAGGCCCTGCCACGTGTAGCAGAAAGCCAGGGATAGAAGCTGGATAGAAGCGACATGCGGCAACTGCAGGTGATGGAAACAAAAGCAGTCACACTGTGATACATCCAATGTCTTTACCACGTCAATCATAAAGAAACATGAAGATCATCCAAGTATATCCAAGTTATCCATGTCACAGAGCCGATGCTTGCGATTGGAAGGGTGCCGAGGACAGAGGATATGATCTCTGCAAATTGCGTGACCTGTTGCCACGGTGGCCAGGTGATTTCGCTGAGACACCGCCAGATCTCGGCGGGCTCCCCTTGAGTGGTGCAGATGTCATGGTCCTGGCGTGCCATCCCAGGGGCTTTGCGTCTGAGGCAAGTGGTCCTTGGAGCAACGTGTTGTGTAGATGTAGGTGAAATATGGTGAAATCAAGATGGCTCAAAATAGCTCAAAATAGCAAAACACCTACACATCATCAGGCGATATCCTCATATCATGTAGTTACTGTATAACTTAAGAATGAGTGCATGATGCTGCATGCGCGCAGGCATCTGAATCTGTGGTGCACGTGAGCCAATGCCAACCCTTGTCCTTCAAGGTTGGGGCTGTGGATGCCGTAGTGGTGACTAGCACATGCCATGGATCAATTGCGGAGACATGCGCGAACACAAAAACATGCGAGTAGCCTTTGCATGGGACGCAGTCAACTGCCGGGCCACTATGGAATAGTAGATAGTTTTCAGAGTTCACTAATGCTCACAGTCCTGCTGTACGCAATCGTCACGCAATCATCACGCGAGTCTGCCACCATAGATGCCAGGCCAAAACAGACGATGCAGGACAAGCCCAGATTTGCTTCCTCCCCGCGTCTTTGAACAAAGTGCAGGCCAGGAGAAACAGGGAAAAACCCTCAAAAACTGACCTGTGCAGATCGACCAAGATGACCAAGAGGATATCAATGGTTGTCCCAATGGAATGACTTGAGCAAAGGCTCTGGCCAGAAAACCCTGGAAAACCCGCCTTTAAGATCCTTTAAGTATGTTCGAGAGGCTATGGCCTAGGCCCATGACTGGAGACCTTCACATCTATCATCATTTCCAATGCCTCATGTTTCCTCAGATTGTTGCGATTGTCAATCCATTGTCAATCCACTGTTGATCCGATGATTGATCCGTTTGCAACCGCGAAAACATGCAAAAACTGTTTCCAATTTTGCCGCAGGTTACTGAGACGGCCGTGTTCCACGGCACCGAGGCCGGCTTGTTCTCGGTCGGATCTGGCCACCGGAGAGGTTTCATGCCATGGGAGCGCAGGCAGTGGTGGATTAGTATTGGATTATATAGTATGTTTGAAGATTTGGGATCAAATCCATCAAAAAAATGTTGAATTATTTTTCGGATGTTTTTGGAGAAGACTTGGATAAAACTGGCCGGTCTTCACTGCCAGGTGTCCTTGATGGGCTCCGAGTTGAAGAGCTTGGACGAAGGTGTCACCAATTTGACGGTTCGATTGTTGCCCAAGGCTGGGGTCAGATCTCGTGTTGCCGTTACATGCGTTACATGCCGTTGCTGTTGCAGAGTTGGATCTTGTGTTGGAGCCGGTGCAAGTGGCAGACGTTCAAACTTCAAACGTGTTAAGATTGCTGGGCCTTGGAGGCCCAAGCGAGCCTCTCGGTGCATGTGTTTTGCATGCCAAAGAAGATGCCGGAAGCGACGGAGGCTCGAAATCGTAGATGGGGGGACGGGTTCCAGAAGATTCCAGAAGCATCCACTTCTTCATACAAATCACTTCTTGAATTCTTGACCTTATTGCTGATTATATATCCATCCCAGCTCTTTCAGCGTCAGGAGATGTTTGGCATCATCGACTGGGCAGCAGAAGATCGACAAGCGATACCTGCAGCAAAGGTCACTCGGTAGGTGTGTGATGTGGGCGGTCGGGTGGCAGCCAGACCCAAACCCACATGTCGGCAAGCAAGTGATGATGCTGGAAAAGATGCCGTTCTTTTCTACGATAAAAAATTGCATGGTGGGTGGGTGAACATGATGAGATTTGAAGGTAATTCCCAAACCAATATTCGAAGCTCACTGTAATGCAAGTCAAGCGCTTGGAATCCATTATATATAGAAAAGATCTGGGTCCCCACAAAGAAACATTCGACCTTGCGAAGGCTTGGAAACGATGCAATTATATGAATATTGCATTTATTCTAAGGGTCTCATGGCGATTTCAGTTGATGGTTTACCTGTTGTAACGAGGTAGACGTGACTCCCTTGGAAACCAACGGGATGCAGTTGAGTCTGCAGCATACGGCGGAGGACGCAGCTGTTTGGTGACTTCAGTGACGCATGATACTTGATCGTAGATCGGTATGGTATATGGCAGTCTACGGCAGTCTACGGCAGTCTACGGCAGTATGGTCAGGATGTTCTCGAAATTTCTTAAGTCACATGGCGCCCCACTCCTTGGACAAGTCGATAGCTTCATTGCCTGGCCCCATGCACCCCCCCTGAATCCCCCTGACATGGCCAGGATTCCTTTGAAGCGTCGTTGGCTGAGGGATGTTTTTCTGTGAAGGTGGCCTGTGATGGCTACGAGACCGAGGCTGGTCCATTCAATCCACATCGCAGGGTTCAACACGACATAGCATGGCCATGCAGACCATGCATGACCAACATCTGATCTTCCAAAATCTTCCACATATGTTCACATCACAGCTGGATTTGAAGGAGGAGTTACTGTATGGACCCGTATGGCCGTATGTATGCCCAATGGCCGTTATGTGCAGCATTGGTCATTGGTCGTTGATCACAGATATCACAGGGCCCGGTGCTAAAGGATGCCGGCAGGAGCGCACGCTGATGCTGCTGGTTGGTCCCAACCATGTGTACTTCCCCATGGTGCCTCGAAGTGTCAATGTCGAGTGAGGCTGGGATATGTTGGGATATGCTGGGATCGGTGGGTCCACCTATGGCATCACCTGATGGATCAACCTCTGAGTTCCCCCTGGCTTATTGACAATGAGGATAATGAGGCAAGTGCATGAGATCAGATCAGCAACCCTCATATCAATGTGAAAGCATGTGAAAGCATGTGAAAGCATGTGAAAGCCACAACTTAACGACATCGACATAGTTAAGCATTGCGGCATTGGATGGTGAGATTAGAGTCAGAGGCAGAGTAGCATAAACACAATCTGATTGGCGCAGCGCCCCTTCAGGGACCGGTTGCTGAAATTGGGCAGCCTGGCCGGATCGGTGTGTCACAGCGTAGAGGCTCCAGAGGTGCCATATCGAGTGATAACTGATGCGCACATGGAGGGTATAAGAATTATATAGAATTATGATGTTGGTGTATACAGTGTATACCAGTAAGTAAGATCCAATAAGTTCATCCCTGAGAATTGTTGTACTATATGAATCTATATAGTACGCAAGCTATCGAATGATAAATCAATCGATGGGCAGTGAGAAGATGTGATATGTATGAATCAGTGGGTTGAAGCTTACAAATTGAGAACTTAGACCTAACGACAACAATGATATCCAGGGGGAAGCCTGGATAGAACCGGATAGGATCATTATTTCAAGATAGGACATTGTCGGAAATCGCTATGCATCTCCCTGGCCACTCAATTCTAATTTCTATCCAATCTTGACACCAGATGCACTATTTCCAGCAAGACCAAAGGTCATGCTGATGTTCTCAGATGTTCTCAGGCAATGCTCTTAAAAGAGGAGCATGTGGCAGCATGTAGCCGCAGTCGTATGAGTTCCAACCACTTTGCGCCAAGAAAACCAAGAACTACTATGTAATGATATGTGTATGTATATAAAATTATCTAAACATCTCTTAGTGAAGTTGAAGTGTTGTTCGTTCCTTGCTTGTGCTTCATTGTGCTTCTAGATTTCAGCAGAAGGTGGCCCAAGCGCAGTGTGAATTGGCGAGGCTGAACTGTGGAGGTTCACATGGGAAGTGCTCAGGAAAAGTCGCAGCGAGGGACATCAGCTCGTCAGATGAGTTTGGATGACCAACTCTCAAAAAGGTGACAATCTGCTGGCTTGAAGAATAAGATGGAATGAGACACAATGGTAATGATACCATTGCGAAGTATGTATGATACGCAACTCCCTTTTGCCAGCTCTAGGTCCCGAGAACCCCTGACAAAAACTGAACAAATGCCACCGGCCAAGGTCTCCTTTCCTCAAGGCTGCGAGCGCTGGCCTCAAAGTGCCTCAAAGGTAGCTGTTTGGATTCTGTATGATTCTGTATTCACAGCATTTCATGGGTCCGGAGACTCACACCATGCTGATCCATGATATGCCTGGATGCCATGATGCCTACAATTTCTATGTCGCACCTAGCACCCTTCAAAGAATTAAGAGACATGGAGGGCTTGGCAGCTTGGCCTTCAACGATTTCACATTCCGGGTATTCGAAATTCGGCCCCATTGATGCAGATGAACCCCAGTGACCATGGGCTTGACATGGTCAAATCCCGAGCACCCAAGGCAACCTGATAAGAAGAAAAAGGACCCAAGAGCTGCAGCCCGGGTTTGAAGGAATTGTCAAACAGAAACTCTCGGTGTTTTCCAAACATGTTCCATTGGGGAGATGCGGTGAGCACCGGAGGTTTGTTCAAGTTTTGACCTAGACCTAGCCAGGGGATGAATTTCATTGTTCCTCCCCTGGAGCAGTTGCACCGTGGAGTTTGCAAGATTTGCAAGCGATTGCTGTGCAGGACAAGAAAGACAAGAAGAAAAAAGACAAGAATCTTGGATCCAGAAGGAGTCGCCAGGTGAACAAAATGTGAACCCCGTTCTCCCATGAGACCGAGCTTTTATTCTTGCGAGGATCAGCCCACAACATGTTTGCCAATGGAAGGCCGTTCACTTGTCCCAAAGCGCCTTTTGCTACCAAGGAAAAAGAAGGATAAAAAGAAAAAAGAGAAAAAGAGCAGCTTAGACGCACCTTCTCTTTGCTTCTTTTGAACCATGGTTACATGCCGTTTGTAAGTGCTGTTGTTCCCTCAAGCCTGCTGCTTCAAGGGTGTGAGCCCTCACGATCACTGAGGCAAAAAGAAAAAGAAGAAAAGCTCATCGCTGCTCGGCTTGATTCCCCATGATACTCCGTGAAAATTCCATGATGCTTTACATGATGCTTCACATGGTGGGTGTGATCAATTTCTTGCCGTTTTGTCATGACAGCTGCGGAAGTTGGTGTTGCGCTGTGCAGCTGAGGTCTTCCTCGTACCTTGGCTGCAACAGGCTGGGGCACGGTGGGGGCAGAGATCGTTGGATGCCAAAGGTTTGTTTGAGAAAACATGAGAAAACAACATGCAGCCACCGGCGCCAAATACCCTGCAATTGCAAGAGCCATTAGAGAATATTAGAGAGTATGTTAGAGGGATTGGGATCTGATCTGATTTGGGCAAAAAATTGAGCCACCATTCCGATTCCTACAATCGCAAGCTGGATATTTGAATGTTCAGCATGGCCCAGGGATGTCCGGGCTTTGGGGCCCTTCAACATTTGCCATCAAGTTGGTAGCATCCTTCATGTCATGAGGTCTTCTTCGTCCTCTTGACGAAAAAGAAATCTTATTGAGGCAACTCAGCTACATCAGAGCACATCAGGCAATTGGTAGTGCGGGAAAACCACCAACCCAACAGACCTGGAGGTCGCTTTGGGCCGTGAAACTTCTGCGGCTCTGAGTCCTTGTTGAAAAGTCGCTGTGACACTACCTTGTGTGCTGCTTTGCTGTTTGTGTATGGCTCTGTGAAAATCCCCTGCCTTTTGCATCCAGAATATGCTAAGATATGCTTCCCTTTTATCCTGCTTGGGGCGCCCTCAATCATCATGGCTTGGCCGCTCAGCAGCTTGTTCGCTGCCGCATGCTGCCGCAGTGGCTCAACGAAAGCCACCGATGTCACCCTGGCGCTATGCGCTGCAGGCGCTGAGCGACCAACCTCAGCTGACAGCGACTGCACATTGCACGGTGAATCCGGTGACCAGGTGCCATGTACATCGGCCCATGGCAAGAATACAAGCGGGGGCAGCCAGAAGAATCAGAAGACAATGGGAGATGTTGGTGGGGATGGCTATGCTTCACTCAACTACACGTAGGATGATCTAGGATGCGAATGAAGCAGTTTTTCACTTTTTAATTCAGGGTCTCCAGCTTCGGACACGATCAGGAAAAAGGAATTCAGGTCAGGATAGGATAGGCGGGTGTTTGTATGTTCGACGATTTTCGTTGATTTTCGTGGTGCTTTCAGCTTTGAGGCTTGCGAGATTGATCCACCACCAGCACCAGGCGTTGGCATGGTGCCCCAGGGCCACTGTCTCACCACACCAGGGAGCACTGACATCATTTGTGCGACATCAACCCAATTTTTGCACAATGATTCCGACAATTTTTTCAATGTCTACCCGAGTCTACCCCGAACATAGTTAAGCACATGGAACATAGGTACTAGATCATCTAGATCGCCCGGGGTCGCCCAGTGTAGCTGAATTCATGTATTCAGAGGGCGGTCAGAAAAACAATGAAAAACACATTGGAGAGCAGGAATATTTGACATATTTCGACATCATTCGAATGCAAGGCCAGAGATGTCTCCCGAGAAGCTCGACGAGGCAAAGATACTGACACTGTGACTGGGCGGATCCTGGACCAATGTTGAGGAGCTTCGTTCAGTGGTGTATGGCCATGATGATACACTTAGCATCATTAACTGTAGCTGTTTTAAATCACTTGCCTCAGAATTTCATTGGACAAAAATAAGTCGATTGCAAGAATTTCATGTGGGTGTGGATTGGCTGAGTCTCGTTTTCGTGGAGATTTAGTTGCAGGCGCCACCGGCGCCACCGGCACCACCTGTCTAGCAGTGTCAGTGTGGAGCTGCTGGGAACTCGACAGAGCCAAATGCCTGGCTGCATTTGGATATCGCCAGGTGGTGGCTTGCTTGATGCTTCACCAGCATCCTCCAGGCGTGTCATTACCAGGTTGCAGATGGCAACATTGAACTTGGACCACCATGGACCACCATGGACCACCATGGACCACCATGGACCACCTGGTTCATGGATGTTCATGGCAACTACCCCTGTAACATCCTGTTACATCATGTTAATTCTTTTGCGATGAAAACAACACACGTCAACTCATCCATCAACACACAATACTCAAATATACTCAACCAACTGAGGAGCTGACATTCTGAATGTTCATGTGTATGCTGCTTCCATCTGCTTCCGCTTGCCTCATTTTTGCAGTTCCTTGGATCATCTCCAGGTCTGGCTTCTCGGGCTTGTCGACCCAGAGTGCACCAGTCCAGCCCTCATGGGCTCAAGTGCAGCTGACTGACAAAACGACATCTTAGATCATCTTAGTCTAGATGTGGCGTATGTTGTGTTTCAGCCAGTTTGTCACAAACTTGTCTGACTGACGACTGAGATACGCACTTGCCAACATTGCATGAAACGTGGCGAAACGTGCTGAATGGATCTGAATGGTGGATGAATCCTTGACCTCGTGGGCCCGTGTTTCATTCTCCATTGAGCTTTCTTCGCTGTCCAGAACAGAAAGTTGCATTTGACAAAGGAAGCCACAATTCAGTGTCGGCTTGCAAGGAGTCATTTGATTTCTTCCCATTGAAGATTTTCCCATTGAAGACAAACATACATACAAACTCTTCTTGAAGTACTGGAATTTTGATGAAAATCATGTGCCAATTAACAGATATGCGCTCAGACCGTGGTAGACAATCATGACCAGCTGTGAACTGCCTTCCAAAGTGATGAAACCCACCGTGGGTGACCAATGTCAAATTGCCTTCTCTATTCTATTTATTCTACATCATATATGCATGATAATTCTAAATTCTATATATTTGTATATAATATTTGTAATATTTTAAACATCACACGGGTCACGCACACACAAATATAAATCTCGACTTGCTGCAGCATTCGCAATTTATGTCCAGACACTGGACAGGCTGAGCTCTGCCATGGTATGACGCTGCAAATAAAATGGCTATCCTCTGGGGAGGATGTGGCATCCCTACGCCCAGAGGATGACGAGGATGCTGACAATGCTGACAGCTCCCCGCTCTTAGTACGAACCGTCAAGCAACGTTTGGTAAAATATGTTGATCAGCCACGGTTTCGGCAAAAATTGTTGAACTGCTCTGGGATTTTGGAAGATGATGCAGAGGTAACTCCGCCGGATACGCTGTATTTGGTATTGCTCTCCTTCAGTCCCAGTTCGCAGGAACAACAAACTGAATGGTTCGAGGCAGCTGCACGAGCTGACATCCCAAAGATGGAAAAGTATTTGTTGGCTCCACATGATCCCAACGTGGCTGCTGAACGAGGGGAAACAGCTGTACATGTCGCTGCTACCCTTGGCAATTTACAGCTGTGCAGCTTGCTGATTGAAGCCCGTGCTAGCGTCAACCAATTGAGCCTTCCAACCTTCGATGGTGGTAGCGTGACACCGCTGCACATGGCCTCGGTACGTGGTCATGTTGCAGTTGTGGAGTTGTTACTGGATGCAAAATCTGATGCCAACAAAACCACCAGGGATGGAGACACAGCTTTGCATTTTGCAGTTTTTAAAGGTCATGCTGAAGTGGTTCGTCTACTACTGGCAGCTGGCGCCGATAAGGATATTTTGACAACTGATGAGAGTAGCTTCACTCCATTGCTCATAGCATGCAAGCTAGCGCATCTAGACGTTGTGCGGTGTTTGTTAGAAGCGCGGGCTGATAAAGACAAGGCATCCTCCAGTACCGGCATTACTCCCTTGCTCACTGCATGTCAGAAAAGCCATTTGGAGGTAGTAAACTTATTGCTGGCAGCCAAAGCTGATACCGAAAAGGTTTGCACCTACTCTGGCTGCACAGCTTTGTACATGGCCTCGCAACATGCTTCAGTAGATGTCGTCCGATCTCTCATTGCAGCTCAAGCTGACATGGAGAGAGGCAGCGGAGAAAGCGATGTGACTCCACTGTTGGCCGCTGCTCAGAAGGGCTACCTGGAAATGGCCCAGGTGCTACTGGAATCAGGAGCCTCAGTAGATCGACCTAGCCGTGATCCTGGTACCACACCGTTGTTGGCGGCAAGTCATGCGGGTCACCTGGAAGTTGTGGAACTTTTGGTCGCCCACGGTGCTGACTACCAAAGGGTCACGGATGGAGCGACGGCACTTTCCTTGGCATATGATGCGGGTCAGATGCAGGTGGCTTTGTTCCTTCAGGGCCTGCGCTGCAAGAGAAGACGTACTTGAAGGAACTTCTGAAGGAACCTGCAGGATCGTTCAGATACGCTTGGCCAGATGTGAAGAGCCAGCTGTAGTCAGTTGACAAAAATGCAAACATGCCATGGTCACACATGGCCAAATGAGTCGCGTCGAACAAAACACCACTACATTTGGTGAAAAGTGATTCCTGTTGCAGTCTGAGTTTTGGCACTTCCCAGACATGCAGCCCCCAGCAATCATCACTGGATTTGCAGTACCTGTTTTTGTCGATGGTTTTTAAATGGAAAAGCTCATGTCGTGAGAATTCATTATTGCTCGAGGGAAGCACAATTGACAGTCCATAAAGTCCATGAAAATAAGGCTCTGCTGGCCACCGGTATCACTATTCCACCGCTTTGCTTGCACAGCTTGCCACTGCAGGCGCATCTGCCGGGCCCTTCAGCCCAGGTGCGGTTGAATGACTACTGTGACAGCTTGGCACTGAGACATGAGAATGAAATCATAGCAATCTCCAAAATGATGCAACAAGTAAAATATCTGATTTAATAAAAGTAATCCAATTATAATGTAAATTAGATCCTTTCCATTTTATTCACATTGTGGAGGATTTACATAATTTATATAATCAAAGTCAGTAGCGAAGATGGGACCATTTTTTGATGCCACTTTGTCCACTGTGGAGTGGTAGGAATGGTACGGAGGCCGGCCCTCTTTTGGACCCCAAGTTGCGACACGCCCAGGCATTGAGAGATGCGAGCGAAGGCGTTGGGCTGCAAGGACAGCTCTTCGTCCGATTTTGTGTGATCTTTTGTGGATCATGAAATATCCTGGAAAATCCTGGAAGACTCCTGGAATATATTGGAATTGTGTAATGAATATTAATGAGAACCATGCTCCGAAAATTCACCGATAACGCATGATAACACATGATAATCGGTGATGATCCATGTTAAGATCTCGATTGAAGTATGATAAGTATGTGTTTGGGGTGGAATGTGCAAGACTTCAAGGCCTCGAGTCCCAAGTGGAAGCAGCACAGCCAGCACGCGCCCGTGTATGCCTTGGACGCTACTTTGTGTGCACGTGACGAAACGATATGAAATCCAAATATTGCTACGTGTCGAACTGTCAATATTTTTGCGTACTTCGACTTGCTCCCAGGGTTGTCGATGAATTGAAAAGTGGCACGCCTTTGTTGCTGAGGTATAGCAGCAGTAGCGGCAGCACACGTGGTCAAGGCAAGTAGCTCATAGTCATAGTGGTTATTTGATCAGATTGGATCTATTTGTGCCTATGGCTCCCAGCAGCCCATGGAATCTCAGGTGAGTCAACTAGTTCTGCAAGTTCAGGCGCGCGTCATTGGGAAATTTTGTCCAGTTGAAGTGAGTATATGTTGAAATGGCATCACGGATTGCCACAGTGTGGGGTTGTTGATGTTCAACCACGCGCAACCTCTACCCATTGAGGAGTTCTTACGCCGGTTGGTATCCATCAGGTACTGTTTGTAGCAATTCAGTGGAAGCTCGTCATCACGCGGGTTGTGATTCTGGGAGGCAAGGCCGCAGCGAAGCGCGCAGCAGGCCTAATGGGCAGTGACAGGTACTGAAGATCAATGGTTGGTCCTTTGGTGTTCAGGATTTTTCAAACTTTTAAATCTTACATGTTGCTCAAGATGCAGAGATGCAGATCTTGGGCTGAGTTTGGGTAGGCCCCAAGAAGCCGGGGAAGCCACCGAAACTCAGACGGCAAAATGGACCTTGCACTGTTTCAACTCCCTGAGTTGCAAATTTGCCGAAGGCTTTTTGGTTTGAGGCGACCTTTCGAAACTTTGGATTTCAGTTGCTTTAAACCTTTGGGCATGCTGCGGGCATTCCGGTGCCCAGGAAGGCGGTTTCTTTGGAAGAGCCGGGCGTCACAGCTGCGACGTTGGCTGAGACATGCTGAGATCATTTGCTCGCACTCCAAGGTCTAAGGTCAGATATGGTTAGATTGAAGGATGTCGATAGCTGTTTGTTCCGTTGCTTAGGGTAAAAGATGCAGCTGCCCAGAACTGTTCATTTCTCAATCCCATCCACTCACAGAAATAGCCGGGCCAAGCACAAAGCCAAGTCCGACCTTGTTCAAAATGGCCAATCGGCCAATTCATCGCTTCCCAGGCAACGTAGAACACGGATTCGGCACATGCAGAGGCATCATTTGCCGCACCTTGCACCCACTCACTGAATCCACTATTGTACTTTTGGGCCGGCCGCTTTATCTTCATGGGAAAGAATGCTAGGCGGGCATCGAAGGTTGTATCGGTTGTAATTAATTATCCTAAATCAACAGACAAATCAGCACAGTCAGGTAGAAAGAATGACAGAACATGATAAGAGATGATGGAAGAAAAGCTTCCACGTGAAGGCAAGCCACCTGCAATATCTGCAATCATATTCCGGTATATTCCGATCATATCAGGCTCTACGGCCTCGGTAGCGATGAGTCCTCGACCCTCACGTGCCTCGCACCGTTTCAGTTTCAGGTAATAGAAGTTCTGGGGTCCAGGTTTCTTAAGACCTCAGAGCAAGACAGGTTTGAAATTGTCATAGTCATAGATGTTTGATATTGTTTGATGATGTTTGATGCAGCCCAGGCCCTCCATTGCAGGCAGGGTCATTGAAGCGACGGAGCACACATGGATCAAAGTCCCAACGGCATTGGATGCATCGGTGTTGTGTTCGTGTTCTATTCCATTGTGTTCCAGTCATTGTTTTGCTTGGTTGAAGTGCAGCTACAGTGTCTCCACTGGCGAGGCTCGGAGAACTTTGTAGAGGCCCGAGTCGCTGTGTTGCGGTGCCCACACTGAGATTAGGCTGCATTTGTGCTGTAAACAGCTCATGCAACAAGAGATGGCTTCAGCTGATTTGCCATCGCATTTTTTGGGGAATGGTGCCGCCCGGCATCACAATGATATATCTTGGCAGGATGTGCCCAAGCAGAATTCTCCAGAGAGGTGCGGGACCTATGAGACCTCAGCTGACCTCAGCAAAGACCTGAAACGAGAATTCTGCTGATATTTCGTTATTGGACTGCTAGCCGTGCCCCAGTCGGAAATAGCCATGAAAGTTCAGGTTCAACTGCTCCAATTTTATCTTTAAAAAATGATAAATAATGTACATCACTGAAAAGGTCCCCTGTTTCCGCGTCTTGCTGTCCCCGCAGCTTTTTGGCGGTGTGGCATTTGAGCTTGCGCAGCTCCAGTTTCGTGCCGACCGCACACCATCACAGAGAGTGAGGACAT